AAAAAAAAAAAAAAAACCAACCAAACAAACAAACAAAACCATATACACGAGAAGTGAGAGGAGATGGGCAATGCCAGGCAGGTGAGTAAAATGCTGGGGGGAGAATGGTGATAAGGGCCATGGAGAGAAGCAGCGCAGGGCAGGGGAAAGAGCGGGAGAAGTTGCAATAGGGTAATTATGAGAAAAGTGATATTTAGGCAAAGAGCGGCGAGCAGCCTAGCCACGCCACATGCGGGAGGCGTGTTCCAGAAAGATAGCCCCCACGCTGCGGCTGCTGCCACCAGATCTTCTGGGGCTAGGGCAGACGGGGTGCCGCTCTGGGTAATTCCCAAGGGGCTGCTCTTGGCTTTGTCTCAGTTGATAGTTTCCTCACTCCCAGGACCTCCAATTCTTCCTGGGGATGCCTCTCGCCTTGGTGGTCTTGGTGGTCGCGGTGGTCTTGGTGGCACCAGCTGTTTATTCTCTTCTCAGGCCCCGCCCACCCAGCCAGCTGTGCCCTCCTCTGCCCCTTGGCTTCCTCAACCCTCTGCCTTGGAGCCAGGCAGAATGTTGTGTCTTCCTTGAAGCTCTGAGGCTGTCACCGGGCTGTGGCCTTGGCAGGTGCGGTTCCCCTCGCCCAGACTCTTCCCTGCGCTCTCAACTCCGCCCCTTTCTCCCTGAATTCCTCCTTCTCTCCCAGGTCTCCGCTTAGCCACCCGCTCCTCCCCCAGGTCTTTGCTGACTCCCCGATCCCCACCCTGCTGTCTGCCCTGGGCGCTTTCTCCACCGCAGCCTCTACCTGCCCCATCATAGCATTTAACACAGGATGACATGTCACTGCAGGGCGGGGCTGGCACTGTGCTGCCCTATGGGAAGCATGCCACGAATATTTGCTAAAGGAACATGTAAAAGTGGGAATATGTCTCCTCTTCCCAACCACTCCCATGTCACAAGCTTACTCTCTTAGGATCACTATCACGACCACCGCACCCCCTCCTCCCCAGGGTTGGGCACTCTGGGCAGCATTTCCTCTTCTTTCCAGAAGCTTCCTGATCATGTAAGTGGAGGAAGAAGCATAATCTTCCATAGTGGAGGAGGGTGGGAGGGGCCTTTTTTCTTGGGGCGGGGCTAATCAGTTAAGTGGTCAACGAATCAGCCAAGGAATTATTTTTATCTCTTTTTCTTTTTCTTTTTTTTTCTGAGATGGAATCTCACTCTGTCACCCAGGCTAGAGTGCATTAGCATGATCTTGGCTCACTGCAACCTCCGCCTCCTGTCTCAGCCTCCCGAGTAGCTGGGATTACAGGCATGCGCCACCACACCCGGCAAATTTTTTTTTGTATTTTCAGTAGAGATGGGGTTTCACTGTGTTGGCCAGGCTAGTCTTGAACTCCTGACCTCAAGTGATCCGCCCGCCTCAGCCTGCCAAAGTGTTGGGATTACAGGTGTGAGCCACTGCACCCGGCCTGCCAAGGAATTCTTCCACCCACCATGGGTGACATGAAAGAAATCACCAAGTTCTAGAATTACCTTCTCTTTCATCAGCATCAAAGAAGTCCTGAGTACTGAAAATGGAAGCAAAAGCCCAGAAAAAAAAACTAGAGAGAAAGAGAAAAAAGAAAC